AAAAAAAAAAAAAAAAAAAAAAAAAAAGAAAAAAGAGGAGTGCATTTTTTTGTAAATTCAAGGAGTTCGTTATTTGTTTTATATATGCCAATTACCTTTGTTTCAAACACTAGACATATATATACAGTACACATGTGTAAAGACATGCATATATTAAAATCAGTATGAACTAAGTCTTTAAGTGTTACTGCATACATTTGTCATATTCAATACATAAAGCTGGAAAAATACTTAAACAGATGATAAATAAATATAATAAATGTTATAAAAGTGAGAAAGCAATTACTTTAAGAATCTAGATATATGATAGATGGTTTGCAGCAAGACTGAGACTTGTAAGAGCTTCTGCAAAACAGAGTTGCTTTTGCTTATAAAAGCCAAATATATAGCAATAAAATCAGTTCTGGTGTGGTTCCCCTATGCAATTTTTTAAATCATTATAAAAAAAAAAAAATATCTGTAATTCGCTTCACCACGTATGGGTCAGTTTTTGGGTACCTGTGTTCTCTAACAACGTCTTTGGTGTGTTGGGTCTGTTAATTATTTCTACAAGCTGGTGCAACACCATTGGAATATAAGGCTGCATCTCTATACCTGAAACAGCCAAAAAAAAAAAGATTCAGAAGAAAATGACCATTAATATACATAATCTAAATAGATCTGGTACATTCAACTTACTAACAAGGACAAGAATCTCAAATTTAATTTACTTTTTAACATGAAAGTATCACTAAAAAAACCCAAAAAACACCCAGACAAACCATGCTAAATGTGCAAAGATTCAAAGAAAAAGCAATCTTACCCATCTGGATGGAGATTTCTCCAATCGCCCAGGTGGCATTGTTACACACAGAAATGAATTCGGGGTTTAGGTTGGTTCCCAAAATGGGCATGAAATCAGCTAGAAAGAACAACATTTTAAAAATCTCATCACACAATACAACTATCTTGTCCTATTACTGTAAGATCACAGGGGGGGAAAAAAAAGTTTTTAAAAAAATCATGTAAGCCTATTTAAATGCTTGGAAAGTGTTACACATGAATTAACAAGAGCTATATTTCTGCTATATATCAGATTAATCTGGATTTTAGAACCTAAGCAGATCAATGCAAATATTTTCAAATTATGATTTTAAAATGTTTCTAATAGGCTTTATCTTTATGTAACTCTAGAAACCTTTTTTCTCCCCTTCCCTTGCTGGCGCAGCAGGGGAGAGGGGAAGAGGGGAGAAGAAAAAAAACACAGCTACAAGTACTTGTAGTTTTACAACATAGTTGAACAACCCTCAAATCACCTGGATAGCTATGTACTCAGCTATGCTTGAAAAAACAATGAAGCCTAGAAGGCAATCACATCCTTGATTAAATTTTAAGAAAAAAAATAGTCACAAAGATAGATTATAACATCTGCCAAATAAATTTTAAATTCCAAGCCTATCCAAGCATTCATTTGGCAAGTAAAGTGTTCCTCAAGAATATCTGCGGAAACAGACAGCAAATATCATGGAAGTGTATAACTGATGCTAATTCCCTACTGAAATTAAAAACAAAGCAAAAACCCAAACCAAAACCTACCCTCTAGCCAACTTTTCTAATTTTTTTATATATATATAAAATTTTATGTAGCAATAGATTTTAGTAGAACAAAACAAGCTATAAAAAATATCATGGAAGTGTATAACTGATGCTAATTCCCTACTGAAATTAAAAACAAAGCAAAAACCCAAACCAAAACCTACCCTCTAGCCAACTTTTCTAATTTTTTTATATATATATAAAATTTTATGTAGCAATAGATTTTAGTAGAACAAAAAAAGCTATAAATTCAAGAATTTATCAAAGCAAGCAACTGTTCTAATTGAAGTCTAAGTACACCTGTCTTGCTGTATTCCAGCACCATAGGTAGTTTGTTACATTATTATAATCAAGGACAAAAATGAACTTTTGCACTATCTACAAAAATAAGAACATGTCTTTTAAACACACAATTTGAAGGAGAAAAGACTACAGACCCTTGCCGATAAAGGAAAATGAAAACTTACAACACCAGCAAAGGCAACCCATGGAATAGGGAGCTTAACAATGGCTAAACCAGCCTCTTATCAGTTTGTAAAACAAGTTAATTGTTTAATATGTAAAAGAAACATACCGATGCAAGGCTTAACATGCTGAAAACACGCCTTTGTGAGATCACCTAATAACGCAAAAGAACTCTGCCGTACCTCAGGCATTTTATCCTAAGGAGAGGAAGAAAAAAACAACAATTCTAGAGGTGTTTCTGATTCTCTTAAGAAAGAAAATCCTTGGATCCAACAGGTTACTCATCTCACCTGCATGCATTGGTACATTAGTGTCAGGATATTGCTGCGAGCCACTAGCTGTTCAATGTTGCCTCCAAGTCCTTCAGCTAAACCACTGAGTAAATCAAGAGCCACAATCATGAAATCTTTATCTGGAGCCTCATATTGGTCTGGCTGAGCATTATGCAACTGCAACAAATAAGTACGCATTTTCAAAATGAGTATTACATTTTCTCAGGGATGTGCATAAAAAAAAATTCAGAACTGCAGTTTTATTTAGATATTCAATGGATACACTACAAATCTCCCTGCAAACCCGTAACTTTACATAGTTAACAGATTGGTTTAAGGAGTTATTCTGAAAACATCGGAATAGCAATAGAAGAATACCATGGCTTGTGCAAGGGTCTTCTGCACCAGATTTACACAGCGCTGGTACACAGGTTCACAGTATGGAAGAAAGCCAGATTGCAAGGCAGTAGCAACTGACGACAGGCACTGGAATTAAAAAAAGATGAGAGAGAAAACAGTCACTACCTTGAAGTGCCTTTTACTTGGCAGAGGTAAATTAGAAGATATTAGCATTTTAAGTATACCCACATGTAACTGATTAAGTAAACACAACCTAGAAAGGCAGTACCGACTAGCTGAGCCAAGACAACTATCAGCAAGTTGTTACTCTCTCCCACATATGCCAGCTGAGAAAATTTCTCAGCAGCAGCATCTTCTTAGAGGCAGCCAAGAAAGTGCATGCAAAACCAGTTACGATAATTCAGCCAGCACTTAAACTAAGCTTCAGTATCTTGACCTAACGTTACCTAAGAGTTATGAAACTAATTTTTCTAGAGGTGCTTTCCTGCTTCACGCTTGCAAAGTAGAGAGAATAGACTACATGGTCTGGTTCACACCTTCAGCTTGTCTGACAATAGTTTTAATGGAGGGATGAAGAGAGCAAGGAGAGAGAAGACAAGAATAAAAGGGGAATGGAACATTTCTTTTTTTTTTTTTTCCTAAAAGAATCCCATCAAAGAAAACACTCCAGAGTGGTAGAAAAGAATCTAAAAGATTCCTGCTAAACCTCATGAAATTTCCTCAGTCACAAAATTTTCTTACTACAGTCAGAATATTTTCTCCATAATGGGAAATGCCTAACTGTCAGCTTTTATAGTCATGCTTCCTAGTAGGAGCATCTTTAGTAGAAAGTGTAATTTCTAAAAGAGGTTGAGAAAAAATATGCAAATTTTAACATTTACCTCTAATAAAGGGAAGAGATCTTTGTCTTCATCCTTCAACATGTTCCACTTCTGGATTAATGGAGGCATTAGCATCTGAATATATTCCTGTTTAGGATGAAAATGCATCAGCTGCTGAAACACTTCAATGCATACTATTTTATTTCAAAGCTAGAAAACGAATGTATTAAGAACTGATATATATTCTACTTCTCAGCAAAAAAACCCTGATGTACTGTAATTCAATTGTTGTTACAATACGTAGTTTAATATTAGAATTTACAACTTAAGATTTTTTGCTGAAGCGCGTAAGTACCTTTGCAGAGTGAATCTTTTCCTGCAGGTTAGGTTTCAGTCTAGCAACTTTTAATAGCTGCCTCAATTGTTACAAATCTGTATGTTTGCCTCACAGCCTATGGAAAATGAGTTTACTTGCAATGCCATCTTGCTGTGCATCTGCCACCTGCTTTTCTCAACCACTTCCTATTGCTCTGATGCTACAACCCTATCCCCCCAAGTTCCTGGAACTTCTTCCTCAAGTAACTAACCATCCATGAAGAAAGTAATTTCCTGTCCCTCCAGAAGAATGCACTTACCCATTCTGTATAAAGCTGTTGCATCTTCCCTGCCACTGCACAGCCACTGTCATGAAGACATTCGGCAAGGCATCCCTACAGTGCTGTGGCTCCCAGAAGGTATCTAAAGAGCCAACAGCTGATGCCAGCTAATGCTATGTCCAAAGATACAAAATTCTAAGTGACTGAAGAAATTCCCACCATCACCAGGAGCTCCCATGTAGCTTCCTCCCGGTGCTGTCAAATGTCAAGGTGGCCAGAGCCAGAGAGAGACTGAAAAAGAGGTCCTGTGATGGTGTGGGGTCTCAGATGGCAAGTAAAATGCCATGGACACAACTCAAAATTGTTTTATTCTAGTGTGTCTATGTCATGTGAAGCACTATAGAGAAATAAAACAAATTTCAATAACCATCATAAGAAGATGCATACATGTGACATGTATGCATATTCTATTAATTAATATATGTACACTAAAAAACTCCCCACTATATGTGCCTGTGTGTTACCTGTGCTTTGTCCAAAGGATTCTGTGTTTTTACATATAAAATGAATGCCTGTCTCACTCTCTGATAAAGCAATTTCTAGTGATGATGTGCTCCAATACATTGGAAAGAGACACAGACAGCAGCTTAGCTATACTGAAAACGGTTTGAAAAAAAGTATGGTCATTAGAAATTAAAACACACATTCCACAAATTTCTCTAAAGTCCTATTTCATCTCTATATTGATATATGTCTCTCCTCTGAGCTGAAAAATTCTGAGCAGGAGAAAAAAAAAATCATGATGAAAAGCACATTTCACAAACTACTACACACACAATCGTTTATTCAAAATAGCAAATATTTGTCTAGTGGGCAAATTACATGCGGTCTATGTATTTTATGTGTAAATATTTAGTATTATTCAAACCTACACAGAAGTATCAGCATTTCTGGTTTATAACATGTAAAGCACACTACAAAAAAACACTGAACCAGTTTTTCAGTTATGAGGTGTGCTTCTACAGAACATAAGGTATACTCACTGGTTTATTTAGATGATGACCTACGGAATCTGCCAGAGTTCCTATAGCATCATAAAGAATGAGCAGGTTTTTATGCTGGTATTTACTAAATGCGAAGACCAAAGTGTCAAGTATATACGCAAGATAAGGAACAAGCTCTGTACAAGCCTCCTCTTCTAGAGTAGCAAAGGCACTGAGGGACAAAAAAACAGGTCAGTTAGCATCTTGGAAAAAAAGAAAACAAGATGACCCCCAAATGCCTGACACTACCCATTTCTGTTTAAACATAGAACTGTATATAGTCCTCAAATTCATCCAAGAATGTTTCAAAATGGTATTACTGAGATAACCTCGATCTATTTTGATTGAACACATAAGGATTCAGCTCTTACATTGTGATGAAGAAAATTAAAAAATACTGCCATAAGGCAGGAAGCCCCCACAAAGAAAAGCATTACTGTACACAAGTTACAATATACTAATTGAAATAGTAGGAACCATAACAAAAGCTGTTTACTTATCTTTAATGTATACTGTATCTGCACCTAGAAGCCCTAGTGCTGTTGTGCCAGTACAAAGCCAACATCAGCCTGTACTCTTAGCAGTTCACTACATAGAAAAACAGATACCGAAAGACATGGAAAACTAAAAGCAAAGACAGGGGATGAACAATTTTAGCCAGCCTTGGTCAAAGCACACATCATGGCATCATGGAAACTTTTCAGGTTGTCTGTCAAGCGTTTGAACAACAGCATTAAAAAAATGTACCCAAAACAAACACCACCACCCCCTGACATGCTACTTCAGAGAAACATTAAGGAAAGGAAAAAAATATGAGCTATTGGAGATTTACTGGCATAGCATGTGTCAACAAGATTATTATTAGCTTGTCCCTGCACTAAAAATGCATGGATATGCATCACTGCATGAAGTGAACAATCCCCTACTAGTGTGCTACCAAATACAGAAATGCCTTTTACTTAACACAATGCAACTGAACACTAAGTGGCTAGCATTCTTATTTATTTTTTTATTATATTATTATGAAGTATTCTTTCAAAAAGGCATAAGACGTGAGCAGGAAAACATGTTTCAGTAAAATATCTTTTTGGGTGTAACCAACTAAAGGAGCAGTTTCTCAATAGTACAGAAATAAAAGACATCTGCTATGATACAGAAGTATGTAATGAAAACATACAGTATCCTATAACCCATTTTCAGTTTGGTAGACCTTAACAATCTGTACAACTATTCACTGTAGGGATGCAGCTCTGTGCTTCTTTCCAAGAAGCATCATTGTATTACCTTGCAATTTAGAAAGCTAGTAAGTACGTTTTGACTTCTAATAGCTCTACATTTTCCTTATAGTGGAGTTTACCAGCCAGTTTATTTTTTAGCTCCCATAGTATTTTTAATGAATCTCTGCTCTAAAGAAAGCATTTCAAAACATGCTATAAATCTGACATTGAACTTCAAATATGAAAAATAATCAGGTGTATTGTTAGTTTTAATATTTCGATTTTATCTCTTTCTTATTACTTTAACAGTTTCCACTGCCCATTGCACTTCCTTCATAAGCATGACATGAGGGTATTCAACAACTGCAAAACAGCTATGTTCAACTACATGCACATTTCAACCATGTTTTGGACACAGTTAATATGAACAGAAGTGTGGGGGGGTTGTTTGTTGTTTTTTTGTTTTGTTTTCTTTATTAGAACCTGATTCCTTGGATCTGAAAATACATGAAACAAATAGTCTTATATCACCATTTTCCTCCTCATTCAGGAAGGAACAGAAGACTATCACTATGAAAAGACACAACAGAGAAGACGTTAAAGCCCAACAAATTTGCTAGCCCAATGTTTGAAAAGGTTTAGACACAAAAAGGAAAGAATGTTTAATATTCAAATCTTACTAAGTACATTTCATTAAATTCATTGTATCTGTTCTCATGCAAGGATACATCTACCCCTTTTCTGCAAAGCTTAGCAAAAGAATTCTGACCTCAGCCTTGTCCTTAGGCACTACTGATATTTGAGGATGGGGTGTAATAGTAGTAGTAGTAGCAGTAATAATAATAATGCTTGCATGTTTCAAGTGTTAAGCATACAATCAGATGCAGAGCTAACTCTGCTTTATGAAAAACTCTTGGCAGTCTGCTGTGTACACTCCTGCCCCACACAAACTGACATGTAAAAGCTCTACTTCATGAGCTTCCAGCACAAGAGGTGCACCCATTCTATAAATGGTGTGTCCATTAATGAAGCCATTAATTTATTTTTTTTTAAATATCAGCAGACAAGCGGGAGAAGGGAATCTTATCTCCCAGGATCTCCCTTCAAGAGAAAGAGAATATCCCTTGAAATAATCATAACCCAAATGTTTTGGTAATCCTGAGCTAAACACCACCAGTAATCCAATGATACAATAGTTTTCCACAGCAATCAGTATTGACCTTGTTCACAGGCATATTAAAGAAGCCAGATTTCTGGTCAATGAAACATTATATATTGAAAATAATCAAGTGTGTCAAACCATTTCTTTTACTACAATAAATTATTTAGTTTGGTGCTTCATATACTCTAAAACCAAACTGGACAAAAGAAATACAAACTTTTTTCATGTTATTACAACTTGGAGTAATTTGTGACTACTCCAGAAGTAGCTGCATCTACTCCAATTTAAAAGAGAAAGAAATACATTAAAAGCTAGAAATGGAGTATGCATTCATTGATAAAGGCATTAAAATAGTTTCCCATGAAAAAGCAGTGTCATGGATAATGCTTTCTGCTTAAGCTTTGGCTTACCTGCAGGCAGCTTCTTGTACTCTCTTGTTGCTATCCAGGATACGCTTTAGCAACTCAGTCATTAATGGCTTCAAGTATGTGTCTGGGGGTTGACTAACTACCCAGTGTGCATAGCGACTAAGAGTCCAGCATGTAATGGAGCGCACAAGAGCCTTTTTGTCAGAGAGGCACTGAATAAGGTGAGGGATCAGCTCAGGAAGATATGGAATCATACCCTGCATGCAGCCTAGAAGGAAAAATATAGCTATTGCAGTACCAGAGTTAACAAAAAGTTGTGTTTTCTGTTTCCTAGAAGGGTCATGTTTTCATTCTCTATCACATAGAAATACATTGTAACAATATACAAAGCAAGTCTACATAATTTATATTAAGTCCTAAAAGGAAACCTTACATAAAGAATAATTAAAATCCCCAATTAAACTTACATTCATTTCAATTACATTTCTACTTCAGTACTCCCCCAATCTCCAAAAATTCTGCTTTATTAAATGGAGTATGGCAAGCACATGCAAATAAAATGAGTTTATAAAGCTTGGAGGTCCTACATCAGTCTACTCAAAGTAACCAAGACAACAAACAGAGAAAGGCTTGGTCTTGACAACAAATCATCACATTATTAAAAAAGATTCCTTAAGAAATTTAAATGTCTTCTTGATTTCTCCTAATATCATGCAAATACTGACCAGCAATAAAAGCTACATGTTTCAAGTCAGCAAGGGCAGTAATACACTGAGATTTGCCAGAAGTACTAACTTTTACCTTGTTTGACTTGAAATCAAAACCAACAAAAAAGTTTCCTAGTAACAAAGAAAAAAGTACATTCACTAGGCACTGTGGGAAAAGAAAGATAACCCAGGCATGGACCCAAATGTATTCCTTCAGCTTGCAAAAGGGACAGAGATGCTGGAAATGCAAGCAAAAAGCCAAACAAGCCTATGAGTAAGTAGAAAGGAATGGAAGTTATCATATTTAAGTTGGACAACCATCCACAAAAAGCAGCTCAGGGCACTGAAGTCACATGAGTGGTCTTCTCCATTTCTGAAAACAGTTAAATGAAATGTAAAGCTCAAATTTATTAAATATTCCTACTCTATGAAATCAAGGTAGTATTTCATGAGAGACTAATAAATATATGCTGCAGAGTTAAGAAAGGGAGAAATTAAGGAAATTATTGAAAGTTATTTAGCCTCCCAAACACGCATGGATTTGAAAATGAAAAATTAAACAACTGCAGTCACCAATTAGTAGATATGGACATTAATCACCGAAACCAAACCAGCTAAGGACATATATTTGTTTGCATAAGTAAATTCAACTGGAAGGAATCACAGAGCTGCTTTAGAACCAATCAAAATTTCTGCAACCTAATATGTACTGTTGCCTTACCTTCAGCAATTGCTCCAAGAACAAGGATACCAGATTCTTTAACTACCCATTCGGGATGGAAGAGCAATTCCTTCAAACGGGGCAAGATGTGTGGCAGAAGTTCATCGCGAAATACATTGGCTAGGACATCTAGAGCAGCAGCAGAACATTTCCCTGAGGGGAATTAACAGTGTTAATGTCTGCTTATTATACAAGTAGTTGTAGTTAGGCAATATAATCCTCATTTTAACTTTGAGCTGCCAGTGGAGTCTCAGGGCATTAGGAGGAAAGATACTTACATTTCATTACAATACACAGTGATGCACTGTGCTCTAGTGCAAAGCCACAGCTCTTAGAAAGCCAGTTTTGCAGCACTTAAATATCCACTAAAAGCACTTATACACTGGGGATATTAAAACACTTGCTGACAGGAACCACACCACTACATTGCAAGACTATATGCACTACGTGATTTCTGGATGGCATAACACTAAGGAAAAGGGAAGGTCTGTGACACGAATGTAACATACTGGAGAAACTAAGGAGAAGGAAGAAATGGTCTAAAAATAGTAGCATTTGATTCAAAATCTGATTTGCTCAAACATGATCTATGTCTCAAAGCAAAAAAAAAAAAAAAAAAAAGACAAAACCATCCAGCTCTGGAGAATGAAAGGAATTTGCTGGCCTCTGCTCTGAACTTTTTTTATACCTTACTCCTATTCTGTGATGCACCAATAAAAAGAAGAACACTTCAAAATTTGTTTGAAAGTTTTAATCCCATATTTTTAGCAAACAAAAGCTCATAAAAGAAAAAATCAGGAACAACTGCAAAATATGATTCAGAAATCCTTACTCTGTTTTTCTGCTGTGGTGCTGTCATGTCTAGAAAAAATAATGCTAAGGTGGTTTTATGCTCGTATTACAGAATTTATACTGCACTTTTTGCTTATTATGATCTCAGTTCCTTCTTAATCTGTCATAAAGGATTCAACTGGTCTCATTAGTAAGCAATGCTGCTAATTGTCAGGCTGCGCTGATGCTTCCTCTCTGATCAAACTGGAAGTCAAAGATAGAACACTGGATAAGAAATAGGGCAGACAATTCTGATTTTCAGATAATACAAATTCTCTCAAGTCCAGATGACATACGCCAATACAGATTTCTTAACTGTTCTGCTCTTTCTGTTTCAGGCCACCATTCCTGAACAACTTCAGCTTCTTCACCATCTTAATCAAAACTGTGGACCACAGGGCACCCTCTGTCATTCCAGCTATCTTTTTCAGAAAATATGTATTTAATTCTGCAATCTCTACACACAGCAGTAACAAGAACAGCATTATGAATCTAAAACTATACTTTTTTAAAAAAAAGAGTCTTTATGGAAACAAGCATATTTGCACTCATATTTTCTTCTAAAACAATAATAATTTAAAAATTTCAGATATGTCTCAAAATTGTTTGACCACAAGCTTCAAGGTACATTCACCTGTCATGAAAACTCAGGGCCTTGGGAAAAAAAAAAAAAAAAAAATTATGCGTATGTGTCCAAATCTCAAAACATTATTCTACAATGAGGCTACTTGCAAAGTATATTTAAGTCAGATTTGTCAGAATTTCACTAGCTATTTTCTACCACTGAGGTTCTATCACTGAGGTTAAAAATCAGTTAGTGGCATTTTCTTTCCTTACCACATGGCCTATTGGCCTCAAGGTCCTATGACCCATACACAGGCCATGAGAACTGTGGTTTCCTCACAGCCATCTCCTGTCTTCATAACCGAGGTACTATATCCTGGTCAGAAGCAAATTCTTCACATAGAAAAGAACTACTGGTAATGGCTGTCAGTAGTAGCATGTTCACATGGGAAAAAACACCCAAAATGAAACACATAAACCAATTTTAGAGGGAAGACTGAAGTAAAAGAAAGCATTATTAAGCTTCCTCCAGCTATCAATAAGAGCTTTTTTTTTTTAACCTGAAGTTAAACAGGCGACACATGATTTTATCTTGTAGAATTAAAATTCTAAGTTCAAAAGTTCTGTTGAATTGCATCCAGTAAATGTTTGTAGCTTGATCTGCCATATTTGAAATAAGAAATAAGCTTACAGATGGCTAGCTTTTGCCAATACAGTTACATAGTCAAAGTGTCATCTGAAAGACTCTGCCTCCACCCCATCCACCAATTATGTCAGCAGAGAGTTCTTTTTGTATTCAAAAGCAAAACCCCAGTATTCCTATACACAAAGTCATCTTTTTACTGTGGTTCTTGTATTATGCAAGTAGCTCTATTTTAAAACATTTTACACATTACTTTGACATACTTAAATTCCAGTCAGAAATAGTATCATCATCATCATCAAGATCATCATCATCATCGTCATCATCTTCAATACCATCTTCTTCATGTTGCTGAGCTACTGTCCGTGAACGATGAAAACGAGGTCTTATGTCCTGTTCACTATCTGGAATAGCTTCGTCTTCTTCAACATCCCCCTGTCATCAAAATGTTTTATCAGATAAACTATTCCAACTATATTGCCCAAGGAAGTCAAGAATGTGGTTTTAGTTCAAGATTTTATAAGCATATAAAAGATTTACATCCCACCTGTGCTGCCCAGCTAACTAAAAATGCCATTGTTCCTGCATTCTGTTACCGCATTTACCAGAAAAATGACAGGAAGATACAAGCAAGAGGTAAGCTCCTGCACAAAGTAGCCTTCTTGTTAAGAAATTACTCTTGATGGGAATGAAATAGAAAGAAGAAGTGATACGAAAAATTCTGGTACACAGACATATTCTAAAATGTAGTGATGGAAAAAGCTGTGTATTCAATTTAGAAGGCATTAGAACTAATTCTGAATATTTTTTTTAGGCTGCATTGTTGCAGTAGTTCATGTGTAATAGTATCCCAGCTCTGCCTAAGTTGCGTGGGAGAGGACAGGGGCAAAGCAGGAAAGCCCACAGATTATTTTCCAACAAACATGGCAGCAGTCACATTTAGTATTTGGAATAGCACACCTTGCCCAGAAACTTAGTTCTCCGTTGAACAGATGGTAGACCAGATCTGCCCATTCTTATCTGAATCATTCTCATTTACAGGTCAGAAGCTAACTAGATATTCTTACAGAGTAAAAGAAATTGATGCTCACCTTCAACAGAATAATATCAATCTCTGAATATTTCATACCATTTACCAGCACAGGTATCAGCCTACAAAGAAATATTGATGCATGTCAAAATAACACATAAAAAAGCAAGACGGTTTTCAGTTACCTGGGCCATAATTTTGGTTGCAACCCTCACCCCCCCAGCCCAAAATAAAATAAAAACCCTTAGTCTGATAACAAAAGCTAGTACTTAAACCAAGTTTCATTTCATAAGGTTCATCAATGCTTTGTAATCTGAAAAACTGTTAATTTCAGATTACAAACTTTTAACTAGAGATAGCCAGATGGCACAACTGAGTTTTAAACTTAAAAAAACCCAGATATTTTTCCATATAATGAATATATTCTGAAGCACCTTTCAGAAATTAAATCTAAAGGTTTTCAGTAAGAATTCAAACTCCCATAATATGCATGATAAACAAGCACTACGTTGGCTCTCAGCAATAGCACTTGCCACTTCATTTACTTGTGGCTGAAGACTCTACCTCACTACTCTTAAAGATAGAAGCCTAACTACATTAAGCTTTCCTGTCCTTTTGTGATTACTTCAATAAGATGAGTCCGCAACATTGCAGAAATCTTGACTCATCTGTATCAGGATTTCACTTCGTTGTTAAACTGATTATGGCTATGGGACTCCAACTGTACAGATGTATAGCTAAAAAAAGTACTAAGGGAAAAAGCTGAGGAGTACTGTTTTTTGAAGATACCAGGCCAGCAATACTATTCACACATTGCAATGGCACTTTGCCTTCTGAACTTTAAATGAAGAAATAGTAAGTATTCGCATTAACACCAATTCATTGGCATTTCTGCAGCACACTTCATGAAGTATGCAGGAGCTACGTATTTTATAAGCAAGCCCACAAGCGCAAAATGGAACAAGATGTTAGATACCACATGAAGAGGTTTTTAGAAGATCTTGTCCCACTTTTAATTTAATATAAGGAATTTAAGATTATCATCAAGTATTGACAAAGTTATAGAGCTCCCTAGTCAAACAGGACTCACCAACAAGTAAGTTGATTTCAAGAAACATGACATTGAAAGATCATGAGAGAAATGTAATGTTACTTTGTTTTTCTAGAAATTTGAAAGCTTTTTTAAAAGAAAATTTAAAAATTTGAGTATTACACTGTTGCAGTATCAATGTTCATGTAGGTCAAAAGAGGTTTAATACTAGTTGTTATTAACTAGTAGTTAATAACTACTGTTATTCTCAGTATAAACATGATGTGTGTTGGGAAGGGGGTGTGTAGACTCAAGAATTGTGCTATCATTCTTTTGTCTTTTGAGCTACAAGAACAGGAATTAAGTAAAACCATTTCAAAACTTAAACATTATTTCTCAGAACATTGATTCTCCTGTTTTCAACCTCCTGTTCCTCCACTGCTACAGCAGGTGTTTTAATCTCCATTTTCTACTTTCTAATTGCTTATGAAAACTGAGATTTTGCTGACTTTTTTTTTTTAATTGCTTCAAATCTATGATGCTTATTTTTGCTGAGGAGAACACATCTCTTCTGTCTGTGATTCTGTTCTTCCAGTCAAGATCCTGAGAGAACTGCTCTAGTAATTTCAAAAACCTTCCATGCGTATATAAAAACAAAGAGTATCCTTTTATTGGGAACACTGAAGAATTCATTTCCTATTGCAAAAGACTTCAGATTAGTCTGGAAAAAAGTTACAAGCACTGTTGCAGACATGCAGGTGTTTAAGTCTCAAACAAGGATATTCATTCCCATTCAATCAAAATTCAATCTACATTTTGAGGCATAGGATAACTTTTTGAAACTTACAAAAAATAGCTTTTGAACCTTAAACTACTATCAGGCTGCAGAATATCAAGGAACATGTTTTACATGCTTTATTCAAGTTAAAATTGCAATAGCAATTAATATAAAATTGATTCCTAAATCCAAGTGATGTCATGCCATTTTGCTATGTCCTTTATAAAACGGGGAACCCTTTGCATGACTACGCACATAGAAGCATTGCACAGAGATGCCTATATCAGCAGAAGTAAAGACAACATGTTCATAGTACACCAGATATTACCAGTAATGTCATGTGGAGATGTTTGAGCTTAAGTGCATGTTAGTATATCTTTGCATTCATCTGAAGGGTAAGAGTCTGTTAAGCTTGAGGTAAAGCACCACGGTGAAACAGTTGCTTCTGGAGCTCGTTGGGTCTGAAATCCTCAGAAGTCTTTTCAATGAACTTTGTGCTACATCCATTTTTACTATGCACAAGAACTAGCTACAGGAAAATTCTAAGCATACTGCCGGCTAGATACAGTCTCTATAAGAGTAACCAGGAACACGTCAATTGAAGTTTAAAGATAACTATTTCAACATAAATAGGAGTTGTAATTCTTAATACTTACTTAGTAAGATGCCGACATAATACATCTTTACAAATTGGCTGTTCAGCCAAGGTCAGCCAAAACTCACAAGCCTCCAAAGCCACATTTTCATCTTGGTCCTGGGTCCTCTGAAGCATGTACTACACAATATAAAAATAAATTACTTGTATAAGACAGAATTTTTAAGCATCCAGAAGAAGCTACCAACCTTGTAAAGTGTGTTCACAAAACCAGACTATGCTACTGTAGCAATTTTGTTTCTTTGGGGCGAGGGGAAAAAAACAAAGACATAAGAGACACTATAGACTTAAGGCTATAGTGAGAATAAGCTAAGATAATTTTTTCTTAATGCTAGATGATTCAGATTCTAAATTTCTTCATTGCTTAAGTGAGAACATTATTATCAAGAAACTGCAGAGACCCAGTAATAAACACCAGTTTCCTGTGAACAGGTTTTTAAAATTATTTTTTACTCCCCCTTTGCACTTTTGAATAAAAAGGTACAGCTACACCCTTAATAAGGTGGAAATACTTTTTATTTCCAGTACCATAAAAAAGCTTCCCTTCCAAATCTTGATTACCTGACAGGATGTAATTAAGTAGAACCCATAACAGGAAAGAAAAAGAAGTCTCACATTTTTCTAGCATCAATGGTAATTCAGAGATTCAGTATCAAATCTTTAAGCTTGCTATTAAAATTTAATCCTCCTTCAACCAAAAATAATCAAATACCTGGATAAACAAAAAGCTTAAGTAGACTACTGCTGCATCAGTTTCTTATACACAACTGCCAAAACAATTTAGAGAAGACTCTTGCAACTTCCAAAACCTCATGGAAGTCCGTGCAGCTACCTTTCCCCATACATGGATTTAGAGCAAAGAAATTCCTCTTTAGTTGCTTCAGAATACCATTTTATTCTCAAAATTAAAAAGAATGAGGGGACCTTTATTCTTCTTATGCATTTTAGGGATGCAAGACTTGCCATGAACGCACCCCTTCCTACAGAATTGCACTAAATTGCAAGCTTTTCTTAAAGGTTCACTATTGTGGTAAAGAACTCACAGTAACAGAAATACTGCTCTATTCTGAGTTGTCAACAGATTGCAGCTTGGAAAAGTTGAAAAATGTCCTACTCATTGCAAGCAAGGCTTCCTTAATACACCTTAAGTTAAGAGATTTGGCATTTTTCCCCAGAAGGCTTGAAAATCCACTTTGTTGTGGATCTGTTATAACAGAATGACAAAAAGTAATCTGTTTGAAGATGCCCCTCACATTGTCACTTCCTCTTTAAGTATCTATTATAAGTATTATACTATGTGCTCCATTAAGTTAGATAGCAGTAGATTGAAAAGGCTACTTACACTCAGTAGTGTAAGATAGCCATATATACAGCTTGGAAATCATAGCAAGAACAGTGATCCTAGTAACAAAGCAAAATGTTGGAAAGGTATTTGAAGGCTTTTTTTTTTTTTTTAATATTATCATACCAAATTGTAGTAAGTACTTTTAATAATAAGCTATAAAGTTCTACTGACTTTAGGCAATGCAAATAGTTGCTTCAGCACAATAAATTACAAAATGGTATAGGAAGATTATTCGGTACAGTTTTGTGTACTCTGTAACATAAACAATGTTGAGGTAGTCTTGTTAAGTCAAACCAGCAAGAAAAGAAGAGTGGTATACACAAAGCATTAAGAAGAACACATCTTTTGAGCAGTAACAGACATGTCTTTATCTGAAGAAAGCAACAGGATGCAAAAGTCAGGATTTCTACTGAGAAAGATCTTAGGAGTCATGTGTTTGGATAAATATGCTGTGAGCATACAAGTACAATCTAATAATTGAAATGTTAGGTTGTTCTGCTCCTGACATATCCTGTCATCAAGTTCTCAGACAAAAAAAGAAAAAAACATGCTTCTGCTCACCTGGAAGTGCATGCTCAAAAAACCCAATGAAATCCAAACTCAGCTGTTCCTGTATGCTCCAAGTATTTGGCAAGAAAGTTAATACTAAACCTGTCTGCTTCAAAAGCATGATGCCTGCCAAGACCTTAGAACCACTACTGGACCATTAATATTCTTAGCTACTTTAAAAGTGACTCTCCATAAGCATAAGGAACATCATGTAGATACAAGTTTCTCTTTTAAGACTTTGTTCACTTAGAGCAGCCATCATCAGCAGCATTCACAGCTTGGGCATTAAAGCCTCAAAGCCGCAAAACCCGACTCATTTGAATGCTGAACAATAGTCAGTTCTGGGATATTACATTTGCACATATCAGGATGCATATAGAACTGGGGAAATCACTAATAGTACACAGTAGTCCCAAAACTGGAAAAAAAAAAAAAGTCTATTCCTTCTGTTACAGAACAGAAGAATCACTACTACTGTCTTTTGTAGAGAGGAAGCCTAGTAACAGTTTTCCCAAGAGCAAAATACCAGATACAATGAGAATACAATCTTGGATCTTTTTCTGGTTGGTGACATCATTTCTACCTACAAAGTCCAGAAGTTCCTTACTGATCTTAGGAGGGCAAAGAGCCAGAGAAGTTATTGTTTCTTGACATTATAATCTCCAAAGCTTTATCCTCTCTCGAGAAACGCATGATGCCTGCCAAGACCTTAGAACCACTACTGGACCATTAATATTCTTAGCTACTTTAAAAGTGACTCTCCATAAGCATAAGGAACATCATGTAGATACAAGTTTCTCTTTTAAGACTTTGTTCACTTAGAGCAGCCATCATCAGCAGCATTCAGCTTGGAGGCATTAAAGCCTCAAAGCCGCAAAACCCGACTCATTTGAATGCTGAACAATAGTCAGTTCTGGGATATTACATTTGCACATATCAGGATGCATATAGAACTGGGGAAATCACTAATAGTACACAGTAGTCCCAAAACTGGAAAAAAAAAAAAAAGTCTATTCCTTCTGTTACAGAACAGAAGAATCACTACTACTGTCTTTTGTAGAGAGGAAGCCTAGTAACAGTTTTCCCAAGAGCAAAATACCAGATACAATGAGAATACAATCTTGGATCTTTTTCTGGTTGGTGACATCATTTCTACCTACAAAGTCCAGAAGTTCCTTACTGATCTTAGGAGGGCAAAGAGCCAGAGAAGTTATTGTTTCTTGACATTATAATCTCCAAAGCTTTATCCTCTCTCGAGAAACCAAAAAATCTCTCAACCAACCAACCAAAAAAACCCCACCACTGAGTACCAACAATCCTTGCTTGTCCTATGTTATATGAGAACATGTCATCCAAGACTGGTGTCACGGAATTTCAGACAACATATAGGAAGACTAGACAGCAGCCCAAGGCTGTCAAGCATCACTTCAGGTTTATGCATCCCTAATGCCTGTGTCCAGGAGCAAAAAACCACCTTCCTCGTGTTGTCTGGACATAGTTCTTATGGAATTTGACATTGGGTTATGACCCACTTGTCCACGTGAAATCTGCATAACAAACATTCTGATCTGAGCTATATTTCCAGTCTGGCAGGTAGCATATGTAAACGCTACTTAGAAACTGCCAGTAGTTCCCAGAAACATGGAAATTACAGCTCAAACAGTTGAGCAGACAAAAAAACCAGAGCTGATTGGTCCTTTGGTAGACAAGTCTGCACTAATCTAGAATGGTAAAGGAACTATCAAATGACATTAACCTCTACAATTGAATGCAATGGGAGGCAATGTCATTAGTAGGTCAAAGAGCATCTCAGCTATATAAAATAACATGCCTTATCCTTGTTATGATCAACACACCAAAAAAAAGTGACAGCTTCAATGTGTAAACTGTAGGAGTAGCAGCACTAGCACTACATTTTTAACATGATCTTCTCACTTGGGCTCAAGCAACGCCTGGCTGCTCCACAGTATAGATGATCCTGGCCATTTCAGGAGCAAGTAACTTAATGAAGAATAAACAACTGCCACATGCATTGCCTGTCAAACACAATGCCAAGTTGGCAATTAGCTAAGAAGAAAATTTCGCAATCTCAGTCTTGAAGGAAAATGAAGAGTAGGCAAGTGCAAGAGTAACATACCTGTTCTGATGAATGCTTTTTATTTGTTATTATTTCTGCAACCCCAAACAAATTTCAGCACCCAATCTGGGAAATGAGACTCACCTCAACTATACTAATCATATGAGGAAGGAGGCGATCCATTCGAACTTCCAGCAACATCACCAGAGCACGGCAAACATTTTTGCGTACTTCAGGCTCCTCATCACCAGCCAGTGCAAAAAGATTCTGTTGGAAAGTAATACCAGCTGAAAAGCCTCAGTTCGTCTAGTTCAACTTTTACTTAAACTGACATTAGTGGCAAACTAAAGTATGCAAATACGTACTTCTGTAGTCTCCCACGCCACACCTCAGAACAGCATTTTATTTCTTAAAGACATATGGTTCAGTAAATGAACTCTTCACACTCTCAATGTGTATTGTACACATAACTAAAACACTGCGTAATATTAGCACTGGCACGAGAAGAGTATTTCCTGGATTTTTTCTTCTCCTAAACATAAATGAAGTTCTGAAGCCAGAAAACTCCATCAGTACATAACAGCAGCAAATTAAATACTCTAGATAATGCAAAATACCACCCTTCTAATGCATGTTCCATAGCAGTATTCAAAGACACCCAGATGGACTCTGATGTGATGATCCTTGTACTGCACTTTCCATTGCAGGTAAGTGACAGACTGCTGCCATTACTTTTACACCTTTATGCAACAAGAGTTTTCTCTACTTATGAAGAGGAAGCATCTTTCAAAATACTATTTTTTGGGCTTGGAGAGTGCTTAGACTAATCAAATCTAGGCACAAGCACACAGAATGAACTTCAATCCATGGGGACTGAAGCTAAGAACAGGCAACCAGAAATAGAGCATTTGGGCGTAGAGGTAGTTGTAAAACATAATTCAAAACTCTTGATAAATCAGATATGTAAGTTGACTTAATCCCCCAACCAAGAATGCACACCCACCTCAATAAAAGAATCTATGTGCAACATAAGAGCTTGAGTTCTGCTGATGATAAATTGATTGACGCATGCAACAGCATGAGACCTACAAATGGAACAGTTAAAATATACATTTTTCATGAGTTAAACACATTTTCTAAACAGTACATAGACATCAAAAACATTAGGAAGCAAATTACATTTTCCAAACATCTTCTAGAGGAAAGAGGGAACAAATCTGCACATCTATATTACCAAGCAAAATTACTAAACCACATTTTAAGTACCACCTTATACTCTGATATATCTAATAAATATTTAAGAATAAAGTAATCAGTAAATATAAACCAGAGCAGGATGACTAAACCTGGCATATTTGTTCCAAACAGTATGTAAGGATGTTCTTTTTGAGTAATTATGATTATTGATCTTCTTAGATATTAACAATTCCATACAAGTCAACATGGTAAAATTTTAGCATGTACTTCTTCATTGTTAGATATTCAACTGCCTTTGCAATATTTTTAGTATTTAGTGAGACCAATATGTGTCAACAACATAGTTGTAGCTTAGAACAAACATATGCTTGTAGAAGGATACATACTAAAACACTTGTGGTAGAAATATACTAAAATAGAAAGCATTGGTTCTTCTATTCCATTTCAGGTAAAGCCATTACTTACAGGTCTTTTACATTCTCAGAAATACAAAAGTCAAATTTCTTAAGTAAAGGCACAAGGCAAAACTACCTGTAAAAGTCTTTGAAGATCCATTTACATATTTTTACTAATGTAACTCCAAACTTCTGTTCAGACATTTCTTGGAAGACTGTCTCATAAAACACTGTTCAAAAGTTGTCTCTAGATAGATGCTTTTAACTTGAAACTGGTTTAACAGTCTCAAAGCCAAAACCATTGCAGCATAGGAAAGAAGTGAAAGACTGTATACCATAGTAAGGAAAAAAGCGTGGTTTTCTCCATCTATCCCAGCTCCAAAGTAGTATTAAGTGTAGCTTTCCACAAGGGCAAGTTCATGCTTTGTTATATATTTTTCTTAGTGTGCATCTGTTTTAGGTGAGTTTCTAAATCTTATTTGAAACCTATCATGATATATTCCAAGTTATTATCTTCTTCTTAGTCTTCATCATCTACTACTTTTGACAATAAAGAATTGCCACCTTCGAGTTGTAGAATCTTTCAATATAATTTTCAAATAGGAGTTAAAAAACACATTTCACAGAATCACAGAGAATCACAGAATGGTTGAGGCTGGAAGCAACCTCTGGAAGTCATCTGGTCCAACACCTCTCCTCAAGCAGGGCCACCTACAGCCAGTTGCCCAGGACCGTGTCCAGGTGGCTTTTGAAGATCTCCAAGGATGGAGACTCCACAACCTCTCTGAGCAACCTGTTCCATTGCTCAGTCACCCTCACAGGAAAAAAGTGTTTCCTGATGTTCAGAGGGAACCTTCTCTGTTTCAGTTTGTGCCCATTGCCTCTTGTCCTGTCACTGGGCACCACTGGAAAGAGCCTGTCCATCCTCTTTACACTCTCCCTTCAGGTATTTACATACATTGATGAGCTCCCCCAGTCCCAGCTCTCTCAGCCTTTCCTCATGGGAGAGATGCTCCAGTCCCTTTATCTTCTTCATGGCCCTTTGCTGGACTCTCTCCAATATGTCCATGTCTCTCTTGAACTGGACAGTCCATAACTGGACACCGTGCTCCAGGTGTGGCCTAACCTGGAAGATGAGGGGAAGGATCACCTCCCTTAACCAGCTGGCAACAGTCCAGCCCAGGATACCATTAGCTTTCTTTGTGGCAGAGGCACACTGTTGGCTCATCTCAGGGTAAAAGCTATTGTTCTTTGTAATAAATATTAGCAGTAACAATTTAATTCTGGAATTTTTCTTCTATCCTATACTTCTGTTACTTTGGAGAGCTTAATACAGTTTTACAGTAAAAAAAAAGATGAACTGATTTAATTTGATTCAGCTGAGAGATAAAGAGCCTTCTAAGTTTTGGTGCAATTAAAGCAGAAGAAATTCTCTGCAAGACCTCAGAAGCTATTGTCAGCAAAAGAATTTTGACTCTCCCGTTGCCGAAGTCATTACAAAATGAATGCAAAATTCTTCTTTCTAGTCAGAATATTAAGTTCTAACCACAGCATTGAATTTTTCATAATAATATACAAGAACTTAAAAGAAACAGTTTGATTTTCAAAATCATAGGCTGATTGTACATTTGGAAGATGTACAAAGAGGTGAGATTGTTGTATTAACTAAGCAGATAAACACGGAAATTACTGATGCATGGTATCTCTGTCGATCATTTAAAAAAACTAAGCATGTTTTACACAGATCTACAAAATAACAGCCTTGCTGCTCGTGTAAATAAAATTGTAACAGGTAACTATACTACAACACCTAAACCTACCTTATTTTTGGACTGCTGTGCTTGAAGAACTGCAAGAATTTAGGAATCATGATATTGAGTGGTCGGTCCAATACATCGCTATCTAGAATTTCAGCAGAATCTTCACATATTTTCTGAAGAGCGCCAAATGCCATAGTAAATGTAGCTAGTTAACACACTAAATGCAGCTAACTAAATATGGAGTTAAACTGCAACATCCTTAAAGTCTTTTTATTTAAGCTTTTTATACCGGCATCTGTAAGCTCTCAAGCTCGGTGAGTCAGTGGATAAGTGGTAATTTTAATTTTAGCATTCAATGCTCATCTATTCAACCATATTTTTAAAAATGCTTAAAAGCTAGTTCTTATTTAAGAAATAAATGTCCAGGTGCAGAAGTACCCAATTTAATTACATATATAATTGTATTTCCTTTCATGCTTTGTTATGGGGTGAAACAGAACTCTGGATATGATGGTCAATTTGAGTTTCATTTTCAAGAGCTTTTTGCTTTTTCTTGAGAAAGCAGCACTAAACCACTACATAATAGCATGGTATCTTGGACCATCATGCTATCTCTGAGAATTATTTTATACAAAATGCTTCACACGCTTTCATGGAGGCAGTATCAAATAACTAAAATTGTATGATCACAGATTTTTATTTTTTTAAATCAGATAAGGCTTTTTTCCTTCTCATAGTTTAAAACAGTTATGTTGGTATTTATTTATTTTCCTTCATACATACTGAACAAAACAGTTCATTTCACTCTGATATAGCAATGACAGATCGCTTTTCGAGATTAAGTTACAAGAAGAATGAACACTACTTTTAAGTAGGAGAAAACTCAGGGTCAGCTAATGATGCCTAAAAGATTAGGCATCACAGCGTGGTAACTTCAGGACACTTCTCAGCTGAGATGCTACAACTACCCATCTGCAGTCTTACTCTGCTTTTATGCAAAGAAAATAAATTTGTCTGAATGAACAGTGAGAACATGGAAGGCAGGTAGAAGAAAAAGTATCAAATTTGAGCCACTGTTCTCTGAGGAGAATGTATGTGCATGTATACACACATATATAACACTGTACATATACATAGTGTCTATGAAGAGAGATAAAAATAATCAAATTCACATGATAATCTTCTATTTTCTATAAGCCTCCTTACCTCACAGGTATTGTAATCTTCAGAATCCAACAAGCTGCAAAGCTTTGGTAAGAGTTCAGGCCAATTCTGTAATTCCCCTTTTGAGGCAATGGTTGTTATCAGAATGCCTAAAGGAATCAGAGGGATGAAGGAAATGAGATCTCACATATCTTCACATGTTCCATACCAATTTTTCTCATTTTTCTCCTCTCAAAGATCTAAGGAGTTAAGAAATTTGGTTTGTTAAGAACTGGCAAGCACAAAAAGAGGAATGGTATTTGAAGGGCTTTGAAATGCAAAGGTGGGTTGCTCCTTCCTGCTACCATGAAGGGCTCAGACATAAGAAATCAAGCACAAAATAATTCCAGTTAAGGAAATAACCATACCCAAACACTGCAGGGCAGCTTTGGCTCTAAATTTACCAAACACTGTACAAATCTTGACCTCCAGTAAATACAGAGTATCCACCTCAAGTCACCTCTTCTTTATTATGATACAAAAGCATGAATGTGGGAAGCTGTCTTTCAATAAACTTACAACCCAGTGGTAAGTTCACAACTTTACTGTGTTTACACAAAGCATTAAGGACACATTCTAAGACCGAGATACCTACTAAGAGCTTACACACTGTGGCAGGTCATCCAGTGATCAGCTGTAGGAATTGGCTGATTGAGATCCAGCAAATAGATAGGTCAGCTCAAAGAGTCACTAATTCTGTTTCCACCATGTACAGAAATCCCAGGAAAAAATAATTAGGTGACAGGAACAGGGAAGGCTGCTTATAAACTAGGACTGACTTTGTATGAGTCCATTTTGCCTCAAGACAAAAATGAAACAGGTAGCATAATCCATTATGCTACTGACAGTTACTTCTAACGAGTATGAACACAGAAGAACTTGATACTACTACAGCTAGTAAGCTCCCAAGTGATAAGTGATGAAAAAAGCTTTCCTAAGCTTTTTTCATTGAGCTAATCACAATATCTCATTTTTCTTTAGGATAAAATCTTAAAATTCTTGTTAAATACACAAGAATACAGGACAACATTACAGAGCAAAGGACATTCTGGACAAGACACACAGTAACTAGAAGATATTTTGCATCATGTTTCCTTTGATGCAATAAGGCTGGAGAACCCATGAAGACAAAGGGCAAAAATGAAGACAGAGGTAAACCACAATGTTACAGCTCCAGAAGTAGTTTGCATCCAGTTCTCTTCATAACTGCAACTGAATAGAAAAGATTCCCAAAAGCCTATGGAGATCTATGGAGTCTTGACTCCATAGACTGCATTTCTCCTGAATATTATGGTCCTGCAAAGAATATCAGATGCATTAATAGAAAATACTTATTTTTCTGTTGCTGGATCTTAATGATCCACTTTTTTTTTTTTTAAATTAAATTGAACTTCAAAAAAGAACAAAATAAATGAATTTTCTTGCCTCCTAGACAAAGGACTTAAATTGCAAAATTGTCTCCCCAACTTAGATCTGGCACAAGTTTGTTTGCAGACTTAACACAGGTTCAAAAACAAACATAAGAATTAAACTCCTGGAACTCCTCTGGACTAACATGTGACAGAAGTTATACCATAAGTCTCAAAAGAGTAGGTAGTTTTGGAAAAGAGTTGGTTGAAGATCTTTTCAAGATCCTAGAAGTGGTTTCAGAGGATGGTCTGACTATACTTGTAATATGTGCAAGCTTTCACAGAAGGAAAGACTATTTGAAAACTACTTTAAGCATTCCTCCAGAAGGTTTATCGCAGATAGCGACAAGATAACCTAGGAGGAAATACTTCCAGATGCATAGGCAAGAAGTGACCTAAGGCCACTGCCCCTTGCAACAGAGATGTATGCCGTTCAGACCATACACATCATTATGAACTTTCTGTACAGGTCTGCAGGGAAGACATTTAAGGCTGTGCTAGTGTTTTGGACATGATAAAGAGACACTTTGGTGGGGACAAAAAAAAAAAAAAAAAAAAAAAAAAAAGAGAATATCAGTCTACCAAGAACTTAGGCAACAGCTATAGCATTTGAAGCTTTGCAAAAGGTTTTAGGAACAATGACGAAACAGCCACATAAAATTAAGTTTTAGGCACTTATGTTCATGTTAAAGGGAATCTTCATGGTCTTCTAATGAGCTTCATCGCCTTTCAAATGTGAAATTTTTCCCACCCACCTGCTGCTTTTTTTGGCCAGCAGGGAACAGAAGACACCAGAGATTAGCCTTTATGGCTTTCTCTGCAACACTTCAGACTGAGAAACATGGACATCAGAAGCATAATCAAAGTAAAGAAATAATCAATGTGGTAGCTTGCAGCTTTTTGACAGGTTTGGGCTAGAGCTGACAGTTAAAACAGGCCTCTCCTTCTGACCAACATACTAAGCTGCAAGGTTAGAAATTTGAAACTGAAAGTCTTTATAAAGATGGTCTTCGATTTGTAATGAACTTCAAAACAGTATTACAGAATCTGTTGATATTTCACTTGACAAATGTGAAATCTAATGAATAAAGCAGCTGGGCTAATTGAGCAGTAAATACACAAGCGAACAAACTCCAGAGGATGTCAGAAATTGTTAAAAACACAACTGCCATGACAGCATCTTTTACGTCACTGTTTCAATTACATGCAACCCCAGTTTACAGCATCAATAAAAAAATACAATACCAATAAAAAAATTGAACATAAAGAAAAAGCAGCCATGCTTCAGTACTTTCATGCCAATAACAGGACAGGGGGAAGTTTGGAGTTTTTCAGGGTGGTGTTTTGCCTCTGTAGCTCCTGAAGTTGATACCTGACCTCCTTAATTCTAAGAAGCTGAACTTCATAGCAAAATTCCCCCTCATAGGACAATCATTAGCTTTCACTGTCCTTCTGCAGTGAAACTCTCCAGTCCCGTCACTACTCTTAAACACTCAAACAATTTCTCCTGCTTGCTTTTAAGCAGCAGCTACACTAAGGTCCTGCCCAATCTAGAGTCTCCAGAAAGTTTTAAGAACACTCACAGAGAAGTTCCACACTGTTATTCATCTGGGGATTAAAACAGGGAAGAGCTAAGTAAGGATACAACAATGTGTAGTTACGATTTGGTCTCAAGTCACAGTTCTAAAATCAACTCTGTTGCCATGCTCATTCCCCACAGTGAGGTAACTTCTGAGGAAGGGATTAATCAGCTTGCCTCCATCTTGGCCAAAAGGTATCAGCTTTTGCCTGGTTAGCACTAGGTGCTAGAAACCACAAAGGAGAGTGAATGCTGCATGAGATCTTCTCTGATGCTATTTTGATGTACTTGCCTATCTTCCTCTTGGAATTCCAGAGATCTTATTTGCAGTTGGCTCATTAAATTGATAGTGCTTGAACTGCAAAAACCCATATGCATCTCAAAGAGCAGCTCTAACTAGCACATGCCAACTCATATGCTAACAAGGAAGCCTAGGTAGGTAGTAAATATTTACACCTAGTTCGTACCAAGAGACCAGCAGGTACCAGACCAACTTCACTGTTAAGACAAAAGGCTACAAGGATCCAACATTTAATTACTTCAAATGGGAGGGTGCAAAGCATGCACTAAATAGCATCTCTTATGTAAGCATACAGTTCATTGGTTGCTACTCATCGTCAGAGTTCATACATGCTTGAATAACCCCTGCAAGGATCACTCAAAGCTGAACAGTCATTGAGCTACTAATCCACAAACATTTCTTTCCAGGAGAAATCAAAGAATAACTGCTTGAAAACAAACAAATCCCCCACACTCCAAAAAAACCACCCCACAAACCATCACCACCAAACAACCTTAAGACAGCAATATGAATGGAATTGGAATATATTTAGTCATCTCCATTGTACTCCACTGACAACTCCTATGAACAAACAAGCACGTGAGACTTCTAAAACCTGAAATCACAAAATTACCTGCCACTTAAAGACTTCTTTCTACTGTCATTAAGAAAAACGGACATTAATAAAATTCATAGTAAAACAGCTTCACAAGTGACGAGACAGTAGGAAAAAGCTAAGAGATGAGCGTTTTTCTTTAGCCCATAGTCCCTAACAGTAACTGGTAGATTATTCTATAAGAGGAGTCAGCTGATAAAAGCTGAATTTCTTTCTGAACTGACACCCACCCCCATTTTCTCTACTGTACTCAAATATATATTTATTTTACTTGTTTCTAGTTTTTTGAGTGGACAAGTAAAATTACTACAATGATTGTAGTAATTGGAGGAAATAATTTTCTCAAAGACCAGAGAGAAAAGCAACTTTACCTGGAAACAAGCAAAAAAAAAAAATGCAAGTAAGCATATTTTATGGAAGAGGTGTACTAAAGCAAAGTATTTACAAAATCAGAAGTCCATGTAACAAAAAAAATCCTTGCTGGAACTAGGTATCTTTAAGGTCCCTTCCAACCCAAACAATTCTATGATTCTATGATGTTCTGTACACCACGCTTTATCTCCTGTTTTCTGACAGAAGGTATTTTAAAACAGAAACTCATTATGTGAATGTGTTATGCATGATATGATGATTCCCTGAAGGGATGTGAATGTGTATGCATGTGGGGGGTGGTTCGCTGGAAATCAGCTAACAGAAGTGTTTCATTGATGCAAGCGGAGTACTGAAATAGTTCTGAAGTCAGACCTTTACCTTGTTCCTGTTTTTAGCTACAGAAACAGGCAGCAAGCTCAATTTTAGTAGATTCAAATAAACTTACGTTCAGTTACATTTCAAGAGATGTGAACTGAATTGCTAAATCATTTCTAAGAGAATAGCAAGCAAAAGTGTGACTTTCATATATTCACACTAAAGATAAATATCAGCATTAAAATATGGTGAAGTTGTTACAATTATCAGAAGCAGTTTTAGGAGTTCAATAACTCTTTACATCAATAGTGCTGCTTTCACCCATATCAGTAACATTTTCAGTATGCAGAAGACAGTTAAGAGCAAACTTACCTACAGTAGCTCTAATTAAGGGGGAGGAATCACCGATGTTGTTCAGACATTCACTTTTAATGAAGTCAGTTACCCCATTGGGAAAGTTGTGAAAATGTGCTTTCACATTATTCTTCAAGATGAGACCACTCAAGGAACGTGTAGGTTCATCTGCAACATAAAATAATTACATTCAACCTTCAGTCAGTCATAGGAATAAGGCAGATTTCCAGAACAATGCAACAAGAGCAAAGCTTATAGAGAGAGAAATTAATCTGCATTTCCTTATCTCTCCTTCCAACTACACCAATCAATTCACGTAGCAACGCTTTTCAGGTTCAGAGTTCACTATTTATATTTATGCAAAATTACAATATCAGTATTACAAATTCTACATTTTAAGAGAAAGTTTTGTATAGACATATAGGCAAGGAATAGATCTGAAGTCACAGGATATAGGAGACTCATGAAAGAAATTGGTCAGCCAAAGATATTCAGACATTCTGATTATACTGACTGGCTTGCTGCAACATTGATACTGTAAGAAACTGATGACAAACCTGCTTTCACCATAGTAAGATACAGAAATGATGTAGGGACTATACAGTAAATCCTCCACCCCCTACACCCACAGAAATACAGTGTTCAATTTTGCTACAAAATAAGGTATTGTAATCCCTTCAGATACCAGCTGTTCTATTGATCTATTAAATTAATAATTAGAGGGAAAAGGAAAAAAAAAAAAAAAGTCTTTAAACAATGTTAACAGGTAGGTGCTATGTAGTGTGAACCATAAGAATAAAGTAACCAGAATTGACCTGAACTGAGTAAGAATTAAAGTTTAGGCAAGAGTTTGAGTTCTCTTCACTGAGCTCTTTTTGCCTGCAAATTTCTCTAAATTATTGGGACAAGAGGAGGAAAGGAAAAAGAACAGCTTAGATTTTTCATTTATATTGGAGCAGACTCATGTTTGGCTCTTCAACCAAGGGCATGAGTAACTTGGTATTACTTCTGAAATATGCTGAAAGTGAGATCTGGATGTTCCACATAGAAAGGATTAGTTTATAGTACAAAAAAATTTAAATTTACAGTTTAGAGCAAGCCTAATCATCAAAGGAAGCTAATTTTAATTAGGATTTTAGCCACTTATTTAATTTTTTTTTTGTATGAAGCCCTGATTTGGGCAAGAAATAAGGATGTTCAAAGTTCCTTTGTGCCAAGAATTAGCTTACACATGGATTCCAGGCCTTCAAAACTATTAACATCCCAACAGAAATAAGGATAATAAAAATAAGAGATATAACTTAAAATATAAAGTATTTTCAAATTAAAGTTACTGCATCACAACACCAAGACTCTCAGTACACCTGCAATGTCTGATGGACACTAAAGACGCTTTCCATTGTGATCTGTGCTAGTCAGAACAGAAACAGCACTTTTCCAAAGGGGAGATTTTGTTTGGCTGATTAGAAATTAAAATTCATTTTAATCAATTGATCTTATTTGGGTTCCCAAACTAGACTGCCATTATATGCTTTTTATTCTTGTTTTTATGTTCATATTTCAGTTCTCCTAAACAAGCATTATTTTTCATGCTCCATAACTATAAATGTATTGTTTTACAAACATATCCTCATCACAGAATTCAGTAAGTTGATAAATCAAGTAGCCACCCACCCTATGCATACATATTTGAAACAATTCTGTAATATTACCTACACTATATGTTTTAAATACCCACCAACTTCTAAACAATATAAAAATAAAAGTTGTTTCAGTTGCACAGCACTGCATTTCAAGGGGCAACAACTTTTCTGGGAGAATGGAGAAAGAGGGAAGAAAGGGTTTATTATTTTAAATAAAAATATTAAAGACTGGATGAGCGGATAAACTTTTCGCAACCACAGAACTTGGTTGTGAGATGTGACAAGTATTACTACCATTATTACTTGGCAAGTCAAATCAAGTAATTTTATAATTTTTTTTAAAGTTTTGAAGATATCATTAACAACGATCAGGTGAAGAATGACCTAAAGAAAAAAGCTCTCACAGGAACTCTTGATCAGTCTCAGGTTTGCCTGAAATACTCTCTGAATTAAAAGTAAAATCTCTGCATCAACTCTTACACCAATAGAGTATGTCAAACTGTTTGCTTTACATAACTAGTCCATTGATAGGTACACATGTTTTCAAGAAATAGAGTCCTCCATATATGGTTATTAAGATTTAAAGTTGTGCCTAGCAAGGAAGGAAGCCAAAGGAGTCTTCCTTTAATTTCCACATGATCTAAACCCCTTGCCAGCCACAATAAGCCATCATCGTCAGCAGCCACAGTTAGACACAGAATACAAGAGTTACTCATTCTGTATCAGCCAGCAGTATCTTCTCGGGGTGAAAGAAGTCAGAGCACCAACCAAAGTCTGATTAGAATACAGTACCTTAGCCACTAGCAGTATAAGCTCTAGCATGAAAATAATAAACAGTGCATTAAGGAAAAACATTAATCCTTTAGAATGCCTGGCTACAATTACAAAAGGGACAAGGCAACAGCTTAAATTTAACCAAGCAGAGATACGTATACTATTAAGTTCCTTGTGTTAGAAATAGGCAGATTGGCCAGCTGGTTTAGATAAAAATCAAGGTCACATTAAGGTGAAACTTCAGCACCATTTTTTTCTTCGTGAACTATCCTGTCGTGTGCAGCAGCATGAAACATCTCAAATACACTCCTTTAGCCAAGATAACAGAAAGAAAATCCTTCATAGTGTTTAACTCACAGACCTGCAACAAAGATTCCATGGGATTCATAGGGAAAGTCACACCTCTGACAAATGAAAAATAACTTGTGAAGCAAGAAAAAGAAGAAAGATTAAAAACAAAAAGCAAAACCAATCATCACCATACAGACAGGTGACAAGCAGAAATCACAAAGATGGACTTAGTGCTAAACAAACACCAACCACTTCAGCTAGAGAAGCAGCATAGAATCTGATATGCAGGCATTAAACAAAAAACCAACCAACCAACCAAACCACACCATAGCCCAAATCTTAATTTGAGAAAAAATTTTCTGATATGACTGCACAAGGGTATTTATGGAATCCAGGGTGTTCAACAACTTAACAGCTACACTGTCAGAAGACAGTAATGTAGGTCTGGATGGAGTTCTTGCTGTAACACCAAGATTACAGGCAGATGGCCCAAGAGCTGAGTAAGACACTCTTTAGTCTTCATACATTCTGTGATAAGTTCTGTCAGCCATATGCTTCAGCCATCAAAAAAGATCAGTCTTGCCTCCTTCTGTCTCTGTCAACCTGGAAGTATAGAGTTGACAAGAACATATAGTACAAGAAAAAGAAGGAAAGCGAAGCAGACCTCTGGCATTTGATGTCACCTCTGGTGCCAAACCAGTTCATCAGTGGAAGATTCCCCTCTCACATTGCCTCACTTTATCATAAAACCATATCACAGTCATAATTTAGTTCTCAGTAAATTTTCAATTCTGTTGCAAGACTCTAATACTAGTTCCACATTTTAATGGTTTACATACAGAGCAAATGGACATATACCCACATTACACAGATATCAATTATTTTAGGCTACTACAGTGCTTTTAAGAACTAGTGTGTCCTCAAACAGCCATATTTCCTCTAACGAGGGTTTGTATGACATAGGGTGCATATGTAAAAGCAACGAGGTTTTTGTAGCTCACCTGCAAATCCAGGTGAGCATTTGTTTCACCATGCCTTTTCATCCTCTGTTCCTTAGAACGTAACTTCCTAGATTGCTAAAAGAACTGAGCAATTGGGATGAGCGTAGCATTTATCCATTCACAGACTGTAATATAAAGATTATGAGCATGGCTATATTTTGCCCTATTACTCTTGTGGTATCGGCAACTTTCAATGTTAGGGTGAGACTTTTTCTAAAGCAAAACTGCTCTGTCTGTCAATTTGAGTCTCAAAGCTGTTAAGCCTTTTTCAGAAATAAGCTGTCATTCTGTGTTTTTTAACTAGTGATATGGATTTAATGTATACAAAATGTGTATAAATAAATAATAAATATATAAATATATATAAATAATAAACATAAATAAATGCAGTGTCATATGGGAAGCAGAAAATGAATAATTTCTTCTGTCCTAATGTATAAGAATACAGTACAGAGACACCTTCATGAGCTTCCCAGCAGAAAAAGATCCTACCGTTTTTTTTGATGCTGGACTTTTAGAGTAAGCCTAGGTATAACACTTTTGGCTTAAACCAGTATGGTTTATCACGTCAGAAGCAGGACTGAGGATTTTTCAAAACATTCAGCGTATCTGAATACATAAATGACTTTGAAATGTAGTGGCTAGTCTCAAAATAATCAGTGCTCCATTGACTCACGTAAGTCATGGAAAATAATTTGACAGAACTGCCTAAGTTCAGGAACATCTGTAAGACATGAAAACAAAGCTGGAAATGTTCTGCTGATGCTGAGTGTTGCATATCTATTGAATAATAAGTAGCAACAGCTATGCTTCTGAAGACAGTGTTGTAAATAAAACTGAGCTGTGGACAATATGAGAAGGGTGTTGAAATGCTGACCTACAATTATCTTGCTGGTTACTTATGGAAGTTTCTGCATTCCAACTAATAATGACCACAGGTCAATCAGAATGCCAGAATTTGTACATCTCTATGGCCTTGCAAAAACATGAAAAGTTTAAAGAACTAACCCTCTGCTTTCACTCCTACTTTTAGCATCTCTATCGTATCCCCACAAACTGGTTGTATCAGTACTTTTCCTCTCTAATGCCATTTTATGTATCACCTGCAGTTAAATCAGTGCTAGAATTCTATCAAGAGCAGAATAATCCTTAACAAGAAAGGGGGATTCAGTGTGGTGAGAGTATGATTCACTACAAGATCTCAAACTACGTAACGAATGCAGGATATTGTTGCAGTTTGAGAATATCTAAAAAGTAATGTCATCTCTCTTTGGCGTTTACGTGTTGAAGGAAGGGGTGGGGAGTGGTGGATGACAAATACCTTAGCACTAAGTCAAGTGCATAGGGAAAGGAAATGATGAGCTTCCCAATGGAAGCTGCTTAGACAGCATTTGGCAGTGAATGAATTTAGAGTCATTAATCTATCTGAAGAAATTACTTGGTCAGACGAATAGAAGTT